AATATATATATATATATATATATATATATATATATATATATATATATATCAGCATTACTCACTTGACCAACCTAAGAAGGCAAGCACAGAATTGAAGCAGTGTCAATCGTACATGTTACCAGCGCTATAACATTCCCCAACCACCATGCATTCGATCCTAATGCTTGGCATGCCGCTGCTTGCGGCCCTTGCTGAGCCTCTAAAGGAGGCCAGAGCATATGACCAAGGGTTTTGCCATGCTCACAGCCCAATCATTTCAGCATTCAGAACGGAAGCAGGAGCCACTGCGTACTGCTCAAAGTACCTCAGATACGGCACGAAGATTGTGTATGTATGATACATCAATTCCTAAACAGTCATACTTATCAATAGAAGGGATTCGACTTTAACAGTCATACCGACTGGACTTTTCACGCACTGGGTCACAGAAACGGGCAATCAAGCAGTGGCGACTATTACGGCTACGACAACTCGGACTCTGACTGTTCCAAATACCAGTACTTTGACAAGTGTAAGTGAGTTTGCACATGACTTGGTACTGAGGCTGATTCTAGCTCGATGTATAGACAACAACTATCACTAATAGTGCCACCGATTGTATTTCGCGACCAACCGCCGGAATAGATAAGCGACAGGGTTATTACCTTGGGTTTGGTAATCAACAGGGGGATTATCCCAGACGACCATCGCATTTCCCTTTGAATTGGGGAAAATCATCTCAATCGGCAGCATGTTCCTGTCTATCCATCACCTCCGCGACTTCCACCAAAACAAAGACAAGATATGGCGTAAGGAATTACCCAATCCTCTGCAGTCTTCATTGTTTCTGAATGCCAGCGAATGTGCTATCGGAGAAAAGTGCTCCAAGCAAGCTGGAAGATGTCAGACAGTAAACTAGACTATACAGAAGGCCGCTAACTTGATTCTAGCCTACAAAGACAGGCACTGTGACTAGGACGCGTACTATAAATCGAGGAAAGACAAGGTGAGCTGTCCATGATGAAAGCCCAAAGACCAGCAGACTCATACATTCAAGCACCGTCACATCAACTGTTACATCCACTCACACAGCCGAGCCCCTCACGAACACTGTTACAGTAACTACGTCGATAGCTCTTGGGCCAGCAGTCAATCCAACACCTCTTGGCCTCCGGTATGTCTCTCCGAGAAGCCATCAATGCAAAGCAAACATTACTTAATTGTACTTAAAATCGTTACAAGTACTAATCTGTAAACGCATCAAAGATACAAAGTATTTGATAGCCCATACATTGAATTGCGGACCGAAATACCGGATCCTACGTACTTCAAGGGCAAGCCTTCTCAATACAATGGTACACTCCAGAATCTCAATTTCCGATTCGTAAGAGAGTTGGATGATGGGTTAGGCATTCCGGATCCAATCACTTTTAGTGATGGCCAGGATTTGTTTCCAACACGTACAGCGGTGCGAGCCCAGGGATACTTTTGGGCCCCGCACGAGGGCAGATACATCTTCTACGTTGACGGCCCCAACACCGACGACTGGGCTTTCTTGTGGCTCGGAGACAAGGCATTTCACGACTACAACTACGACAACAGTGATGGCGAGGCGTGGGGCCGCCGTTTTGTTCCACCGCAAAGTATCAGCGTTTCGTTGACTCTCGAGGAGGGCCAACTCGTTCCGTTTACTTACTTGTGGCTCAGCTATGGGGGCGAAGCGATAAGCAATTTTCTAGTTGAGGACATCAGCACCGGAGACTCACTCCGCTATCTTCCCGGTCGCTTTATTTGGGATTGTGACGAGAACGCCTTCACCTGAGGCCTTGGTGATAGCAAGATGGGAGGGACCCTGTGAGGCAATGATACGTGGCAGCAGTTGTCAAATTCGAAGAAATTTGAGACCGTAGGAGCATTGATCAGAAGGTTATGAGACTGTACTTTGGGGTCTAGTGATATTGCAGAAACTACATTATTTCTCCGCAACGCAGTTAGAGAATCGATATCAAAAAAAATACTGTTATAGTCTATTACACTATAACAAGTAGTGCGCTGTTACCAGAAACACAGCAAGCATAGCTATTGCTTATCGTGAAAACGTTTTGGAAACAGAAGACTATCACAATGTCTCGAACACAATTGCGTGCAGACGTCCCATTGTCTTCTTAGATAATTCTTCCCCGAATTTTGTAAGCTTTGCCTATGCAACTCAATTTAAGGTGGCAATGATGGTGAATGCGGCTACGAAGTGTATTATTATGGGGGCTTTTGAGGTAAGTTCGTCTAGTTTGGTGCTTGAGGGGATATTCGGCAAATCTACTTCACGCCGTTCCATTCATCACCCCAGTGCTACTGGAGAGATTAGCTGAGTTGTCAATATCTAGACCCAAAGCGATCTGTGCATAACGAGCCTGAATACCACAAGATCATTTCCATAGATCAAATAAGAGTTCCCGGGAAACAAGTTTTGTCTAGCTTCACTAGCTTGCGAGGTGTAGACGAGCTCTTAAACCTGGGCCTCGGCAGGCGTATATAGAGCTCAACGGTCTCCTCTCCAACTGTTTGAAGCCAGTCAACATTTATCGATGTGAGATTTCGAACCAATTCATAATTACAACTGGCAGAAAGCAACAAGATGGCCGCCAAATCAGACCGCGCCCCTGTCCCAGATCCAGCTGAACAGGATGCCTTCTTTCCGTCAAAGTACTCCTTGTCACAATACGTTTCACCTAAAACTGATTTCGACGGCGCAGACTATCCCAATGCCTACACCGGGAACAAATGGAAGGTTCTCCTCATCGCCACACAGGAGCGCTACCTGGAAATGGCGGGAGGTGAATTCTTTTCTACGGGCAACCATCCCGTAGAAATGTTGCTTCCCATGATCCACCTCGATGCTGCCGGGTTTGACATTGACATTGCCACCATCTCTGGCGACTCGGTCAAGTTTGAAGTCTGGGCTTTCCCCAAGGAGGACGAGGCCGTCAAGCGCATCTATGAAAAGTACAAGAACAAGATTCGCAAACCCCTCAAGCTCGAAGAGGTTTGGGGCAACGGCTTCACCACCGACACGCCATACCTAGGCGTGTTCATTCCAGGCGGCCATGGCGTCTTGAACGACGTTCCAGCCTCTCCCACGGTCGGCAAGATCTTGCGATGGGCTCTCGACAACCAACGCTACTACATTTCCCTCTGCCACGGACCGGCCAGTATGCTGGCTGCCGATGTTGGCAATGGTCCGGGAAGCAAGTCCATTTTTGACAATTACGAAATTGTCGTGTTTCCTGACTCTCTAGACACGGGCGCCAACATCGAAATGGGCTACATTCCAGGCAAAATGCCCTGGCTAGTTGCTGACCGTTTGCGGGAACGGGGTGTCAAGGTACTCAATTCGGATATTACTGGAAAAGTACATCGAGACCGTTGTGTTCTCACTGGAGACTCGCCGTTGGCCTCGAACAATCTCGGCAAACTGGCTGCCACGACTCTGCTCAACGCAGTCTAGTCTTCCAGTTGAGCTGGCCATCTTTAAGGAATTGACTCAGAGACAACAAGAGAGCGAAATTGCGTAAAGCAGCGTATCAGAAATTTGCGTAATCACTTTACTCAACGGGGTCCATTTTACCTTCGGATCTTGTTACAAAAAGGTGCCAAATATGCGGTGTCGTGGATGGTGTGTCGGTGGATTGGTTGTATACATCAGTCAGGTTAAACATTCGTATCACAACAGGGCGGTTGAATAGGATGCTGTTATAATATGGTTGAAACAAATGTTTGTTCTCCATTTGCTGCAAAATATCTGATAAATCTAGAAATCTTTGTCTCATCTACAGTGTGTATTATTCGAGCATCTTCCACTGTAAAATGCCAGTGGCTTCTCTTCCCAGCTCAAACAGGTTACTTCTCGAATCAAGATGCCGTAGCTGTAGGAGAAGTGACCCCGGTGGTCCCCTCCTCTGCCAGATAATCGTAGTCGGCATTGGTCTGACCGCCGTTGGCATAATACCACGCGGCAGCAGTAATGGCATCAGACGCGGTGGCATTAATACCGAATGCCAGCCAGGCAAAAAGACCATCGGAAACATCATCGCCAATGTAAATGTACTCGTGGACGGGGTCGATGCCCTCGCTATCGGTCTCCTGGACGAACAAGTCATCGTCCACGTTATCCGTGATGCTGGCCGTGTTGGTATTGTAGGGGGAGAGCGCTTCAACCTCGGTAATTAGGTCTTGGTCGAAAAAGGCCTGGCCAATGTGGGAGGAATAAATGTTGTTATTGCCAAGTGTGCCATTGGCAAAGACGGTCGCGTTGGTGTGTACCATCAAGTGAATATGCGTGGCACGCATGGCATAGTGGCCAGGAAAGAGACTGGTGAATTGAGCAACACCGTCGGCGTTTGTCTTCTGGATACCGCGAAAGAAGGTGTTGTTTAGGTTGGAGGCGTCGGCATCGTTGCCGTTGCCACTAACTTTGACTCCCGAGTAGACGCCGGTCGAATTGCAGTGCCAAATCTCCAGGTACACGTTCGGCACAACCTCGCAGGTGTCGGCATCGACCACTTGGTAATCAAGAATGGTCGGTACACCGTCTTGACCGTCGATGATATTGGGTCGGATAAACTCGCCACCCACGTCTGAAAACGATTGTTAGCGTATCGCCTTATGGTTCTCCTTTTTCTTTTTCCTTCTTTCCATAGGTATGGTTCATGATATTGGAGGATACGTACAGTATGGGCCCTGTGTGACCTCAGGGGTAAGTAGACAAGAGCTGAAGCCCTCAAAGAGAACAGACGCGTCAGTTGCTGCAGTGTACCCGTTGCCAGTCTGGTTATGGTTGATAGCATCGACCGTCGTGGCATTGCGTCTCACCAGGCTTGTTTTGGCCCTGGCATCTTGAAGTGTTGCATGTCGGCGCGCAGCGTTGCGCTTGTTGACACCGCGAGCCTTCAGCTTCTCGGCACAGTGGCTAATGTCGGCGCGCTTGACGGTCTTGAGGAAATCTCGACGCTCGTTTAGTTCCGCCTTGAAATCATGACCGGGATGGGCGAGGGCGGAGCTTGAGAGCACGGCTAGGCCGGTGACAACGGCTTGAGTGAAGTGCATCTCTCGTTCTCTTGAATAATAAGAATATTCAGCTTTGTATTCTTTTCTTCTCGATTGATGTAGGCCGGCTCAGTTAAGCAAAGTGCATAATACATAGGAAGAACGAGAGAGCATCATGATCATCATCACCATCACCAACTGCCGTCTTATACAGATCGTCGGCCCCTTCATCGTATATGCTATCGGCTAGGTTCAACGTATTTGACGCCATGGCTGGACAATATGGTGGACCGGGATATCGCAAGCCAATACGTAACTACACTGGCTTTGTAAGGCAATGACTGCTTACTACTGGGACACATCCTACAGGTTGGCGAGTCCCTTCCAGGCTCTAGAGGTTCTGGACAATGGACTGACAAATTTTGGCACTAAATTGGATTAGACATTATAGCTATAATTTAGTGACGCCATGTTCATATAGTTCACCGTCCGGGGATATAGACGCTGACTAAACCGGACCTCCCTGGCCAGATCACGGGAGAGGCTCTGCGCCTTGCGCCTTTGCCGCCGGCAAGTCCACTACCGCATTCCGTATGATAGTAGTATAACAAGGCGCAGGGCCGCGTGGCCTTCCCCGCGATGCGGGGACTTCACTGCCGGTCTCCATTGTGCCATTTCTTCACAATTGCGGGAGCAACAGAAGTACTGTAGAAGCTAGCTCCGGCCGAGCTAAAATTTCCGAATCCGGGAATATAAACGCTGTGGAGACGCGCGTAGTGCCGTGTCATTGCCGGCTGTTGAGAACAAAGGGATGTTGACTTAAGGTAGATCCCTGCTTGATGGCTTGAACGTTTAACCCTGTGTAGCTGAAGGCATAAAGTGGGAACGACAGAAACAATGGACACCAATAAGGACTTTTCAGGTTTGGCTGACCATATAAAATTGACCAATTGCACCCATACTCGGCTTAGTCGGCACTTGTCAGCCTGACAGCATGATTTGTAACGGCTCTGCCCTGTAGATCTCACAATGAAAAATACTCCTAGAAGCCAGGGGAACAGCTTAGGAGTGGGCCAGCTAACGTAGAAACTTCCTTTACCTGAGCGGCCAATCGCAATGGTGTGGCGCTTAGCTGCTAATAGATGCTATTACGCCGTTGCGATGGGTTGTGTGTAGAACCCAACTCAGGTCGTGGTAGGGCGACCAATAAGGTCACCTTGCTGTGCGGGCGACTCAACGTTCTGCCGCGCCTCGTATCACCCCTACCGCTTTGACCAGCCAACATTCAACAATGGATGGAAATGTAGGACAGCATGAAGAGCTGATGCAGCCTCGTGGAGCCGCGTATAGGTTGGGATCACAATGACGATCACATTTCATCTGATGGAGCAAAGGAATATGCATTTGTCAAGACTATCGACTGGCTGCTGACGACTTCAAGGGTATACCGCAAGCCGCAGCTCGAGCGTGCATATCGGGGCCCATAAACTCACGGACGCAACGTACGGATGCAGTCGATAGAGAGAATCTAGAACCTCGATTCAATATATAACAATGCCTTGTGCTGTTCTGCGGAATAACTAATTCTCAACTCGTCACGACCACACTCTTTTTTACTATATTCCAAACATGGCCAGCCTACTTCGACCAGCGGCCGCTATTCTCTTCCTCGCGGGATGCGCTCTGGCCTCTTCAGAGCTCGTGACGCCTGTGAAGCGTGATGGTTGTTCAACCACCAGGCAGGCTATGCCATGGTATTATTGTCTGGATAATCTCCATTTTGTATCATAGGGCTAATCACGTGAACAAGGTCTTCGCTCACTTCTGACGAGCAACAATCGTACATTGATGCCACCCTGTGCTTGATGTCTACGCCTGCCTCGAGTGATATTGGCAACGCGTCCACTAGGTGGGATGAATTGCAATACAACCATATCTACCAGACCGGTTGGATCCACGATGTCGTAAGTTATAGATAGGAGCCATTCTTGGAAAAGCTTGTTGGCTAAGTCTCATGTTAGGGTCAATTTCTTCCTTGGCACCGCTACTTTATCGCCGTCCATGCCAACATGCTAAGGGATGCTTGTGACTATAATGGCCCTCTGCCGTAAGTAGTATATGACCCGGTTCCTGTATTAAAAACAAAATTCTCATGAAGATGCAGGTACTGGGATGAAATTTCAGACTCTAGCCTCGACGACTTGGCCGATGCCGACGTTTTCCAGGACGACGCCCTCGGAGGCACGGGCAGCGGCGACGACTCTTGCATCACCACCGGCCCCTTTGCCAACATCACCCTGACCATGCAGAGCGACGGCAACACGGGCTCGTACTGCATCTCCCGCGACCTCCAAGTCTCGTCGCTGTCGGGATCCACCCAGGCGAGCGTCGATAGCTGCGAGGACCTGGACACGTACGACGACGCCTGGGACTGCTACTACTCGACCCCCCCACGCCGCCGGCCACGCTGCCGTCGGCGGCCTCATGCAGAGCGTTTCCCAGAGCCCCCGGAGACCCCCATCTTTTTCTTGCACCACACTTTTCTCGACGCCCTCTGGTGGAAGTGGCAGTCGGCCAACCTGAGCTCCCGCCTGACCGAGATGGGAGGCCAGAACCAGGTCGACGAGTCAGAGTGCGAGTTCACATCTTCGCAGTGCCCTGGTGATGATATTCTCAACTATGACGGCGACCCGGGTAACACCACTACTCTGAACCACACCCTGTGGATGTACGATCTCTACCCCAACCGCACCGTCGCCGACGTCATGAACATCAACAGCACCGATGTCTGTATCGAGTACACTTACCCTGACGGCGAGGACTACAAGCTAAAGGAGCGCAGCTTCATGGAGAAGCTGTTTGGAAAGCACTAGTGGACGGACGGAGGTTACCCAAATTTGTCATACACGATTGGTTTTGGCGGCTGAAAGGCTATAGGGTATAATCAGCTTCACGATACCCCGCCGCAGAAAATGATTTGATCGCTACTTGTTCACACAATCAACTTGGAATGGCAAGATTATTGGCTGATGCCATGCGATTGTATGTAACATATTTGTCTATAATCTAGGATTGGACTTGGGTATATTTACCAATCCAGTATTTTCTTATTACAGGATAGAAGCGCCCGGTTTCGTGACACAGGGCAGGCGGATGCATATTGATCAGACTGGCCATACCATAAATACATATTGAGGATTCATCACCCAAGCTGGATTTAAAAATTGACATTATTGTTAGAGAACCCGTCGCTCGGCATGGCAAATAGATAATCCCAATCCAGAATCTGCGCGATTTGAGAATCTCCACCAAAGTCGGATATGTCAGTCGGGAGCTCCAAGTCGAAACCGGAGAGTGTTTCTTGTCGTTGAGACACGGTATTTGGTACAACTTCTTCTTCCATAGCCGATAGTAATTTCCTCAGTCGGCTCAAGGCATGGACAGCGATGACCCAGGTGGAAGACATTTCTTGGAGCACCAGGTCAAGGTCTGGTAGGTGCAAATTGCCCTGCTGATTGTGCCCTCTCCGCGTCAAAGTGATGATTGTGTTGACCGCGGCAATTACTCCATGTACAAAGATCAAAGGGGCGTTTTGAAGAGAGTGTTGAGCTTTGAAGCGTTTCAAGATTGCAATCATGCGCTCCACAGATTCTAAACAAGCTTTCTCCGGACCGTCAGCGGCTATGGGAGTCGTATTCTCGGCGCCATCTGTGAGGGCCGACAAATTGAGGAAGGGATAGAAGAGAGAAATTCGAGAACTATGCCAGAGCATGCTAGAATTATTACTTGTGAGCTGGCTTTCTTAATTCGACAGGGGCAAGGACAGGCATACTGGAGCGCAGCTAGATGAGGTTGTACCGGTTCAAGAAGAGACGACCATTGCTTTAGCCTCATTGCGGGTGGCAGGTTCTCCCTGAATCGAGCTAGCTTTGAATCTATTTCATTCAGAGCAATGGATTTCCAGTCTTGTGAGAGTCGCTGGCCTGGAGCATGGACGGCGGATAGGCCTTCGCGAATGATTTGGCTGATTTCGACCTGCTTGTTGAAGACTTCTGCCAACCTTGGTGCAATTGGTATGATGTCCTTCAGAAATACCAGACCATGGCCCTCGGCCCAATCATTAAAGATTGGATCTTGTCTGCACAAGCAATCAGCGTCAACGTCATCGTGAGGTTGCCAATGTGAACCCTCACCTCTGCGGTTCGCTAGGCTTGACGTCCGCATCGGACTCGTGCATCATGCTGGGTCTGCCTAGCATGAGACTGAAGAATCTGTTTGCCATGTCAGAACAGCTCGGTGTCCTTCAATGTAATGATGTAAGTACTTGTCAGATACATAGCATCCCCAGTAAATCCGGCGGCGATACTCCCTGACGACAGCTTGCTCTGTTGCAGTCCTATCTGTCCATGTTTCCGGATCGCGTTGGAAGCCTAGATCGTGACCCATTCTAAATGCCATACCTGGACCAAACAGTGAGAAGCAATCTTTTGCACCAAACATCCAACTCACCTGAGAAAAGCCAGCCCTTGGAGAGATTGCCGGCCCCAATCTCATAAAAGGCGCAGCATAGGAGGGTTTGCACAGAGGTTGTATGTGGTGTGACGAGGCCGTGACTCATGACCATGTTGATGGCTTGCTGTGAGTAATGGGATGCCCGTTGTCTTATGTCTGGGTCTGTAGACATTAATGCGCCGATTGAACACACTGCATTGATGAGCGCAGAGGAGCAGAATTGGCTGTCAAATGATCTGCGCTGATAGTCCATGATGAAAGCTTCGCGGTCAATGAACATGAACTGCGAGTATTGCCAGTGAAAGAAGAGGCCTATGCATTGATTTGTGATCCCCTCGCCGGAATCGAGCGGGTGAACAAGGGGCGAAGGAATCATGCTCGTGGCCTGCGCATTGTTGTCTGAAGAAGAAGCCAGAGCACCATTATAAATGCTGGTTGGCCCATGATATGTGAGTGACCCTGGTCAATGACTTTTAGTCGTCTGGTATTCTAGGGACAGTTGGCGGGTGCACTCACCTTCGTCTTCTTGTCGTAAAACTGCCTTGGCTGGGTCGTGGACAGCGGCGCCCATTTGATGACTCTTCTGTCCGGCATTGGCGCTGTAATCGGCCGAATCATCGAGAAAATTGATGCTGTCAATCAAGGAATCCCGCTGCTCCCGAGGCGCTTTTTTGAGTTGTGCGAGAAATGTTTCGAGCTTTGCCACTCGCGACTCTAGCGATGCGACATAATCACGGGATATAGGAAGTCGCCGGGATCGATCATCGCGATATTCACAGGTCGCGGAGGCCAGAGAGCAGTTAATGCAAGGGGACGTTCTGGAACACCTTATCTACGACGACTGAGTCATGTTTTCATCATAAAAGCTACTGCAATACACATACTTTACGTTTTTGGCATCGCTTGCATCTATTGGGCTGTGTCAGTGACAGATACTCGCTTTTGTTCTTGCTCCGCAATCATAGAGTGGACACCCGCTTACGATATTTGGTTGCTCAATTGGGACTGCATGATGCATCTTCGTCACAAGATGCATAGGCAATCGCTTTAATTGCCTACACTGGCATTGGCGTCGTGTCGATCTTAGAGTGACCCAACTGTGACATGCTCGACAAGCTCGAACTTCCGTGGGTGAAGTTTGTGTCAAGTTTGTATGGGGATTTGACGAGCTTAAAAATGACGTGCTCTGGTAGTAGGAAGTAGCCGGGCTGTTAAGTCATGGTTCGCTGCTATCTGATCAGGGCGATGGCCCCGCAGTGGGCGGGCCTAACAGTGGTAAATACCTACTACTAGGTACATTATTGGTTCAACTGATACCAGTCAGCTGGTCATGCGCACCATATTCCTTGGGTTTACTATAGTATGGATAGCAATTGGTTTGCGTGGTCTTATTGGCGGCATGTAATAGGACGTTGCTATGTTGGACATTTCTTGGCTATGACCACAGACTTCAAATTACAACAATCTTTGTTGACGGGCCTGTCTCTTTTCAACAAACGACGCAAACCGGCAATACTTTTAATATAATTTAACCTCGGATCCCTGTGTTTCCGTGCCTTAGTCTTTTCATCCATAATTTCTTCCTTTCTTCTAGACATACATGGTTTATTTTTGCGCAAGACTTATCTTTCTTTAGCCAGGAACGAGGGCAAGAAAATTCGCTGTCTGGCTGCGACATCGTGGATGAATACGCGCGAAAGGAGCATCGACCCGTCCCAGAGGTGACGATCTTGCAAGTCCATGAGGATGCATTCAAGTTTCGAGGTTTCGACACCACAGTGCTCGGCCGACATTCCGATAGAGTGGTATTGAGAGCGACAAGCCTAGCAATGGCATGTCTACGAGACGAGGAACCATTCCTCCTAAACTTATGTCGCGTCTAGTATGGGAACTTGGAAAGGGATACTATTACTTGGACATGTCTGCGACATTACCGACGTCACCAGTCAGAACTTAAAGTAGAGAACTTGGTCACAGTGAAGAGTAGCTATCCCGATTACAAACCTAAGATGGTTGTCCGGGCTGGCCACGGTTTCTATGCTGGCGCATCATCAGTGTCCTGCCGGCCTAATCGGCGACATGAAGGATTTTGTTGCGCTCCGCTCGTTCGTGCAGCCGTACTTCGCGCGTTTCGAGGACGCTGAGGGCAACGCTTTTTTGGGGGGCCCCGACAACGAAGAGCAGTACCACTATTCTGCTGCGTTCCGCCAGGTTTTGGCAGAGCACTTCTGGCGCCTATGCAGGGCTTTCTACGCTCTGCGCCAGAGTCACACCCGCCAATTCCATCTGGCTGGCTCCAAGAAGGAAGCCAAGGTAACACCGCGGTTCGTCACCTTTGCGGTTGTGATAATCCTCTTCGCAGAAGAATCAGGGACAGTATGTCCGCGTTGTCCAGAAGAGCATTGACTCTCTGCACCGCCGTTGGGATTAGGCAATCAACAGGTCACACATTTCATATTGAACCTAGAAATATACCTTTTTCAATTCATAGATGGGCCTAAAAAAGCACCCAATGCTGGTTTATAGCTCGAATTTTCGCTGGCGTAGTTCTGGTTCTTGCCCAGCTACATTTGCCTCTGACGGCGTTTCCGCCTCCTTTCGAGCAATCTTCCTGTTCAGCCATGCATAATAGCCCATTTGCAGAAGCGTCATGAGTATGGACGCTGAGTAAATGCATAGGATGGCAACCCAGGCATGGGAGTAGCGAGGAGCGTCATTATCTTGAAACAACTGCTGCCCTGCCAATCCACCCAGGTTAGAACCAATCACTGCCATGGCAAGACCAATGCTTCGATCCAGATGGGTTACAGCATTGGAGTTGAGCCAAGCATCATTGAGACTCTGACTGATGCCATTTCCACAGTTCAAAAGTGTGAATATGGCAAAGGTCGTCCAATGATCCGCATTGATGGGAAGCCCAAACAGAACGCCTGCGAATATCATGGACCATGCACACGCAATGATGCACCAGACGCCACGCTGCTTTTGGCGGTCCGACACCCAAGAAACAATAAAGGATAATACACAGACGCCATAGTTGCTAATTGAAGATAGCGCATTGGCATGCGTCGTGGAAAAGTTGAGCGCCTTGATGATGGTCGGCGAATATAGTGCAAGCCCACCCTTGGGAGTCAGCGACAAGAGATTGATGGCAAAGTGACCCCACAGCTGAAAGTTGCAAAGTGCCATCATGACATCGCGTATCTTGATATTCTTGAAAGACGTTTTCTTTTCCGGATCGTTCAATATGATTCTGTTGTGCATCAAGCGGCGTTCAGACTCGGAGAAGAGGTTCAGCTGTTGGATGCGACATAACGGCAAGGTCTGCAGGGGCGATGCTGGAAGCAACATGAAAAAGACAATGGCCATGACAATAGTGCAAGACCCGTCGACTAGAGCCGAGTTAGAGGCGAGACTTCGTTTGCTTCAATGAATGGACAACTTACTGAGGAATAACCACTGCCAACCCGATAATCCGTGGGCGCCAGCCATTTGCAAAACGCCCGAAGCAATAAGGGATCCCGTACCGGCAGAGAAATAATTGCCAAAATAGAAAATGGCAGTCCTGAGTGCCAGTTCTTCACGCTTGTAAAACAGGCTCAATAGAAGCTGACAACCGGGGATATACCCTGCCTCGAAGATGCCCAAAAGAAACCGTGTCGCATAAAACGAACTCTTGTTTGTGATAAAGGCTTGAAAGACTCCGACCAATCCCCATAGCACACACTGCGCTGTCAGCCATGTAGATGCGCCAAACTTTTGCAGCAGCAGATTTGCTGGTATCTCTGCAATTATGATACCCGCAATCTGTAATTGATTGCCTCCGCTGGCCTCTGTAGTGGTCATGTGGAGATCTTCGCGGAATGTAGAGGTCAGGGCATTGGAGATGTTGCTTCGATCCAGTTGTAAGGCAAAGAAGCCGGCCACTAGGAGCGGCATCAGGATGCAATCGAGCCTTGAGCATGTCCGATTAGTATCATTACTATTGAATTGTTCGCAATCATAGCAGTGCAACAACTTACTTTCGAACAACCTTCTTCTCCTCGGCGGCAGACCAATCTCTTGTCACCTGGTGGCCGTAGCCAACGTCCTCGGAAACCTCCATGCCCTCAACCAACCCTCCTTCTTTGTGGTGTTTTGGCGATTCGACTTCCTGGGCGGGCTCCATAGTGGATGGAATTGGTGCGTTTTTGGAACTAACCTAGTTAGGGGGCCCAGCGGTAATAGGGTGCCGCTTGAGTGTCCCTTCAGAGGCCGAGAAGGTCAGTCATTATAAAGACACCATCAAAGCCAATCGCGATTGCGCCATCCCGACTTTCGCACCAAGATTCTTATCATATCTCAGATTGGATTTCTACATAGATTCTCGTTCATATCGGCCAATAATGAGGAAAAAAGATACCTGACGGACACGAGCTCCGTGGGCTACGAGTCGGGGCGCTATCTGACGATACGCTAGGAGACGGAGTCGGACTCCGTGGCCCGTGCTCATCCACGCTTGACTATACTGGGCGCCCACGGTCATATCCATACCCGAACTAGAAGCACATGGTGGATGGACATGGCACTGCTATGAATTGTTCTCTATGGTGATGACAAAAACGCAAACCTTGAACTCTCACACTCATTTACTCTTTGAACACTTACATCTCACACAAGGCTTGTTGTGTTGCCAGCATCGCCACACACAATTTGGCCTTGACCATGTCGTCTGATCCCGAGCAGCCAAATATTGTCCTCATCCTAGCCGACAACCTTGGCTGGGGAGAGCTGGGATGTTATGGAGGTGGCATTCTGCGTGGCGCTGCTACTCCACGCATTGATGCTTTTGCCAAGGAAGGTCTGCTCCTTCACAACTTTAATGTCGAGAGCGATTGTGTGCCGACCCGTTCCGCCCTTATGACCGGGCGGCATCCTATTCGCACGGGATGTTTACAGTCGGTCCCGGCCGGCATGCCCCAGGGTCTGACTCCTTGGGAGTTGACATTGGCCGAAGTGCTCAAGACGTGCGGCTACTCAACCGCACATCACGGAAAGTGGCATTTGGGCGATATTCCTGGCCGATACCCATCAGACCGGGGATTTGATGAGTGGTACGGGATCCCACGCACGACTGATGAGACTCAGTTCACATCAGCCTTGGGGTATACCCCTGATGTGGCTGAGCTTCCTTATATCATGAAAGGAAAGGCGGGAGAATCTTCTGAAAACGTGTGCATTTACGACTTGAAGGAAAGGAGAAATATCGATGCTACTCTTGTCGACTGTTCCAAGGACTGGCTCAGTCGGCAGGTGGAAGCCAAGACGCCCTTCTTCCTCTATCATCCACTTGTACATCTGCATTTCCCCACACTTCCTCACAAGGACTTTGAGGGAAAGACTGGCAATGGGGAATTTGCTGATTCCATGGCGGAGATGGACCATCGCGTCGGCCAGCTTTTGGATCACATTGACAGCTTGGGCATCAGAGAGAACACCGTGGTCATCTTTGCTTCCGACAATGGCCCAGAGTTCCGCCCGCCGTACAGAGGTACCGCTGGGCCTTGGACTGGCACATACCACACTGCCATGGAAGGAAGCTTGCGCGTCCCGTTCATCATGCGGTGGCCGGGAAAGGTCCCAGAGAACGAGACTTCCAACCAGATTGTCCACGTGACTGATGTGTTTACGACCATTGTCAATATTGCTGGTGGCACGATCCCAGATGATCGACCAATCGACGGCCTCGATCAGACTGCATTCCTCCAAGACCCTGCCAACACAAAGTCACCGCGGGAGGGATTTCTGTTCTACATTAAGAATGATCTCCGGGCTGTCAAGTGGCGGGATTGGAAACTGCATTATATTTGGGAGCCCAAGGTCAATGAAGGCCAGGGCAAATTGGAGAGTCCATACCTTTTCAACACGACCCGGGACCCAAAGGAGGAGACGGACATTTTGGCATTCAACACTTGGGTGTTGCAGCCCATCTCGAAAATGAGGGCGGCGTTTATGAGAAGCTTAAAGACGGACCCGGCACCGCCCGATCCACTAAAAGAAGACTTTTAGAAGGCACACAGGAAGCTAAACCCGGATAGGAGAGAATTGTAATGGAATACCTTTGATCGCCATCTCGACTACCATGTATACCTTGTGCAAGGACCATGTACCTAGTAGGTATTTAGAACTAATGTGTATCTAGAGTCGAGTACCACTCCTCATATTGCAATTGCTGCTCAGGTGCAATCCAGGGCTGAAGGGCTGTTTCACCTCCTACATAGACCGGCATTTATGATTCACTGCTAGTTGTACTGGACCTTTGACAAATCTCCATCAGTGAAACATTGATACTTGCCAAAGGCACCTGCTTGGTAAATGTGTCATTTGGTACCGAAATGCAGCAAGCTCAAGAGAGAACTAAATTCTTGCACCTGCTCTTGACAGTCCGAGTACACGTTATTCCTTCTGTTTAATGACGTCGGTGCGTGTTCATGTTGCTCTTTCCCTTGTTTGAGATCAGCTACCAACAAAGGCCGACTGCCCCGTTCTGATTTGGCTCTGAATGAGCTTTTACATTTTCAAAAACAACAAATCGTCGACTATCTCCAAGCTTGAACTCCCCAAACAGCACCATTCAATGCCCGACTGCATCCTTTCTTGCAGTATTCTTTCTATATATGACCATGGCGACCGTCACCTACGTAACGGACGATTACGAATACATGAGAATATCAGAACTCACCGCGATACTGCACGGCCTGTCGCTCTCCCCCAGCGGCAACAAGACAGAACTGATCAATCGCCTGCGTGAGCATGATAACGCCTCTGCTCAGTCTGGCCAGCCCAGTCAGTCCGCCCTGCCACCCATAAAAACGACAATCATGATTTGGGGGGCTGGTAAAGTCGCCGAGTCTGTAGTTGATGGTCTAAGGTCCCTTGGGCAAAATAACATTGTATAAACCCCCGAGTGTTGAGACCTCTCTGATCAAACATGTTAACGTATCCTTGCAGAAAATTTTGTCTTTTACGTCCGAATCCTTAGAGCAATCTGAGGACCATGTACGACTTTGTCGAAAGGGTGTCGAAAGTGTGATTCACGGAGACGAATGCACTCAAAGTCAGCTCTTGACCTGTCTGGAGGGCGTCGACATCTTCATGTGCTGCCGGCCGCTGATATACCCTGACCCTGTACTCATAGATACTGCCAAAAAAGCTGGTCTGAAACGAATGGTGCTTTTTGGATGGCTTAGTCCTTCACCCAGGAATGTTAACCCGGAAGTTTGTGACCCCCATTGTTCTTATCTGCTATCGTATGTCTGTATTAATGTGACACAGCTCTACGATGTTCTGGATCGGATCCATGAATTGTTTCTACCGCACACTGTTATCCATCTGGGCTGTTTATATGGAATGTTTGTGCCCAGAATACCATCTGGAAGGTCTAATAAACACTGGGTAAAATCAATATGGATGGGTGACCTCCGAAGGGTCCAAATCGTGGGAGATGGAAACGTGAGAATCGCTCTACTAAGTATCAAAGATCTTGGCGCTTACACGGCCGAACTTTTGGGACAACCGCGGACCCTGAACAGACAAGTCTATATATACACTGAGGTTCTAACTATGACCGAGATATGGAACACCATGGCGGTTGTCAGCAAAGAGAGACCCATTACGGAATATGTACGTGCAATAAATGCGTATGGGACTTTTCAAGTCAACATTATCCAAACTAATTATTCCTTGTAGTTGTCTATCCAACAACTCAGACTGATCACCGAATCATATTACCAAAGGGCATTCGGCACCGGACAAGCCGACCGCACCACTGATGAGAGGAAATTTTTGACTGCCCGTGCGATACACATGTGGTGCGTGGAAGGATTCAATAGTCCGGAAGCGGCTGACTTCCTCGGTGTGCTGGACTTTTGGGACTTGTTTCCCGACTACCGCAAGCCAAACTATGATGTGTGGAAGCCAATGAGCTTGAAGCGATATTTTGAAGAAATCATCGATCCCTCTTTCATCCGCTCGCTTTTATCTGGTCCAGGACCGGGAGATGATAATTCGCCTCCGCGAGATCGGCAACGGGAGGGTCAGTCCTTCACCATTTCGAGCGTCCGCACCATTGCGAGCACCGAGGATATAATTGTATTGGATTAAAATGGGAAAATAAGGGATGAGGTAAAGATTGGTAGCTATAACGATGCAACAGTCCGTATATCTATACACCTGCATTCAATGATCCATGTATACATCCCCAAGAATGTACAACGACTTTCAACTAATCCATCTAACCTGAAGCAACCTGAGTCCACAGACTTTTGCCGCAGGTAGGAGTTGCGAGCTGTATCAAATACTAATCGTGCACAACGACGAAGATGAATGATACTACCTGTATTCAAATTAGAGAGTAGAATCAAAGATGGTCTATATTTACGAAATGAATGTGTGAACAAACAGACTGGATAACCCTTCCCGTTGTGTCACCCAAAGGGTGCCACACAACACAGCTATGCTGTGGCGAATCAATAAAGCCACACTTTTCGTCTCCAGCGTCTTGATACGAAGCAGAAAAGTCGCCGCCAGCGCTCGGTAGCCATATACCGGCACACTAATCTCTCTCCTGCCGTAGTAAGGTTTGTCTAATCTTTTATTCAATAATGTGCCACGGCTGTAGGCAGAAACAGTGCCACCGCCTCGTGAGGTGGCTGAAAGCAGGTAGCAGTAGCCATCATCATTGTGATACTGAATGGCCTTGCAGAATGATTGGGAAGAGCACTGTTGGGGGCATACGGGGTACGAATCGGTGTAAATATTCTCAATCAAGACACCAAATACGATCCAATACTTGCCGCATTCGACAATGAAACGTTTGCCGTTGGCCGCCGTATAGGTAGAGCTAAACAACTGGCTGCAAGCAGTCGGTGTCGGGGTGACGGTTGTGATTGGAGAGACTGTGACGGTGGCAGACTGGATTTCCGTCACTTCGACCGTGCTTGTGCTCGTCACTGTCATGGTCTCGAGCGCCGTGGCAGGAATGGTGAAGATGACGGTCTCTGTTGTGCTTTCGTTTGCCGTGATATCTTGCGTTGCCGCAGTGCCAAAGGACCTTTGTGCTGTTGGACGAGGTAATGACATGTATTTTACGCATGAAATACAGGTTATCAACCATTAATGTTTCGACTTTCCCAAAACGTATAATCAGAGAAGTCGTGGTGAGTTAAGTCCGATATTCACCCTAGCTAGATCGGGCTTACCATGAGAGTTTGAATGGTGCTATTTCCAGCTCCGCGATAAATCCGGCCGACGTCTTAGGCTTGCGAGTGCATGTATACCTCGGCGTGTGTTCCTCAGCAATTGGTCAGGCTACGAGCATCAGAAAACATGCATCAGTAGTGATAAGACATAATGCACTCTCGGATGTCTTGATGCGAGGATTGCCAATCTCAGGTTGATGACTCGCAAAATCTTGCCGTCCCCAAGGAAGCATGTGTGACCTTGTTACTAGGGTCACTTTATTGTTGCAGCATATTTAAATTCTCACGCTGGTACGCTTCCGCAGTAATGAAACGACAAAATTCAGGCCTGCTTGAAGCTGTGGCCATGATTTATGGCCCCCAAATCTCGCCTTTTGTAAACCAAAATCTATGACCAAAGGCCAACTAACCAATGGATTTTGAGGATTGTTGCTATAAAAATAAAATATCCGCTCCAATAGTCACTAAGCAATCTGCATCAAGGGCCCCTGTGACCTATCACGATTGGACAAACAAGCTTCGTCCGCGCTCGGTTAACACAGGTAGTCCCCCCCTCTGCGGGTGCACAGATCAGATCATCCGGGTAGAGACTCAAGGGAAACCCATGTGTGGTTTCAGCCACGTAGGGGTGACGAGTCCTATAGATTGCGGGGCCAAGACTAGAATACAGGTGCTTTCCCGGTAAGCGAGAAATATCTCGGTGAAGCCCCCGAGAACCGAGTGCTGTTGCGTACTAGACTCAGCCTTATGCTGATGAGAATGTGGTCTGGGTAGGGACTGCAACCCCTCTTATTTCCAGAGCCGCATTGCTCCGCCGCTACTCGATACGATTTTAGAAAGTAGGTCCTTAGCCAAACGGTATAAAAAAAGCAAGTCTATTTGTGTCTCGAGTATATTCATTGATTGTTTTGATATCTGTGAGAGCATGTGCTATTTTTCGGCGATAATAATCAACGCGTCGGCTTTTCTGTAGACTGTTTGGGTTAATGACTCATCTGCGAGTGAATCTGCAATTCAATGATGCGGAGAGCCTCAGGACCTGTATATTGTGATACCAGACCGGGGGTGTTACAGTAGTGCTTACTTGGACCCCTGGCCATTGTTGAAAAGACCGATGCTATAGCTTCATAACTCCGATTACGAACTCAGGGCAATGAAATCAGCAGTATATAATGTGCCATTGGGGTGTCGTATTATTCCTAAATCTGTATTATTTGTTCTCCATCAGCATTGAAGATATCTGATATCTATCCGGAATTCCCTATCCCAAATCTCTAGCATCATCTGGTTCAGCACTGTCTAAGCAGCAATGTCGCCAAAGAAAGTTTTGTTTGTTCTGACCAATATCGCCAAAATCCCTGGCACTGAAAAGGAAATTGGTTGGTGGCTGGTGAGACACTCCTCTTGATTCTACATCTGGTCAACTCAACATGAGGACTGACACACATTTCAGGCTGAAGTCGCACACCCTTTTCACGTCATCAATGGCAAGGCAGAGATTGTCTTTGCTTCGCCCAGAGGCGGCCTCGCACCGGTAGATCCCGTGTCGGTCCAATACTCACCCGATGAAGTATCGCAAGACTTTCTCAACAACCACAAGGCCCTGTTTGAGCAGACCGAGCCTCTGGAGAAGTTTCTGGGAAAAGCCGCCGAGTTCGACGCCATCTACTACCCCGGAGGCCACGGACCAATGTTTGATGTGGCAACGGATCCGGTGTCGATCCAGCTGATTGGCGAGTTTTTTGCTCTTGACAAGACCATCTCCGCCGTCTGTCATGGCCCGGCGGCTTTCGTCAATGTCATTTTGCCAAACGGAAAGCACTTCCTAGAGGGAAAGAAACTTACAGGCCTCTCCAACGCCGAAGAAGACTCGTTTCAAATGTCACAGTACATGCCTTTCCCGCTAGAGACGAAGCTGAATGAGGCTTCGGGCGGGCTGTACACCGTCAAGGATCAAGACGCCGAGAGTGCTACCGTCGTTGTGGGAAATGATGGGAAATTCATCACGGGGCAAAACCCAAAGAGCGGCAAGGTTGTGGGGGAGGCGATTCTCAAGGCCATTGGGGTCAATTAAAACTCAACCTATATTCTCCAAAGGAGCGACTCGGTTGAAAACTACGTACAAAAGCTCCTAGGTTGCTATAACGAGGTAAGACATCAGCACCAGTAATATCGAAATGTTTGGCATTATAAACAAAAGTATCTAATATTGTCCGTTACGATACGCGAGCTACGACGGAGTCTGCAGGGTGTTCCGAAGAAGATGCATATTCTAGGTCTTGTATTCCAAAATGGCAGGCCCCATCTAGGAGAGGTTTTATTCTGTTTGTATATGCCTTTACTTCGCGTCGCTGCACGTCGCTGCGCACAGGTGATGATGGCTGATGAGCCTGCCCGAACTTGTCCGAGACAATGAGAAATAGGTAAGCAACCGTAATCCTTATGTAGAATATCGACCCTTCCGAGCTGAACGGTTGGTCTACTCAATGATAACAACGACTCCGTGATATGTTTGCTTTTTTTAGTTGAAGAATAAAGAAGTGTATGATTTGTTCTAATACATATATCAGGCTTATAAAACAATATCTGGGTGTCGCGTCCACGAAATCTTACACACCTTCAAGCTACGCCGAAAAAAGACGACTGGAGTGACGGCAAACATTTGAACTCATAACGCATCGTCCTCCCCTGGCGCCATATGTGTTTGTCTTCCTGCCAGCCATAGGATATAAGAATTTGTAATCAGGAGTGCGCAAAAAGTCAAAAAGACTCTATATCAAACAGATACTTTAATTGCACTAGCCGCGAATCGAACGCGGGGCCCATCGATGGCAACGATGGGTTTTACCACTAAACCACTAGTGCTCGACTGAGTCAAAAGCGGCTCATTGGCTCATTAATCCACAAGTTGACGCCGCTTCAGCGACATCCAATACTCGCTTTCTGGAAATACTTCGTGCGACTTATTGCTAACAGAAGTACGCAGCACTTCCGTTCTGCTACACCACAGCTCTGCTCAAAATACAAAGATGCACACCCTGGTAAAAGGACTGCGTCAAATTCAAGAACCGAAAGGAGAATGGGAAAAGTCTTGCGGTGGTCCCATCACCTCGTATTCACACGGCGGAGGCCAGTCGCTCTGAAGATCCAATAATGGCTCCGCTGGGACCGAAGCACGTTTGTTGGACACCTTTCGTCCTACGACAATTCATCCTGCGGTCACTCTTCCATACCCTGACTTCCGAGAAAATCTTTTCGTTCCTTGTACTTAAAGGGAGCATCCACAAAAGGATGTTGTCAAACAACTAACATAAGCTACACTCCTGCCTCTGCCAAATTTCTCCTTTATTTTATTCTTACTCTCCTCATTGATACCTTGTTCGGTGGAATACGTTGCTAAAAGCAGCTACACCACCATCTCGATGAAGACTCCTGCACCGAGATCCCGAGCTTCAGCCCAAAGCTTCTTGGACAGGAGTTTGAGGATCCAATCTACCGCGAGCTCAGAACCTTTACCCCTCAGACCCGATGGAAGTTTCGATACAACGAATTCTTTAGGATTCAAGGCAAAATATATGCGAGAAAGAATTAGTTCGCTCTGGGATGAGTATGTTATCTAGGAAGAGACGCCCAGCTTGAACTGACATGCAGCTAGATACATAAAACGATATCCGTGGAGTAGGGCGACTGAGCCCAGGACCCTCATGGAATTCATCAAGTTTCTAGCTTACGGAATCAAGTCCGCGAAGTCAACAAGATCAGCCCAGCCCAACGAGCGGCGGAAAAAGCGAGGTCCCAGCATCCAATCTGTTGTTCAATATTACGACGTGTTCCAGAATCTTCTCCTGGATCGAGGCACGCCGGTTGATCCGAAAGTCTCTAAACATATTCGAAAGGTTCGTCCCTCTTCACTCTCAAAACTCCACAAAGGTGTCGAACTCAGCCCAATCATAGTATATCCTCCATAATCTGCGTGTCGAGCTAGATTGCCCCTTTAATGTTCGGCCACGGAGATGGCCAAAGATTGTGCATTTCATTCACCTTGGACAGCAACTTTTCGTCCAGGACTACATTAAATTCCCTTCAGCTGCGACCCGAGTTTATTTCTGGGCGTGGTTCTCGTGCAATGTGGCTAGTGGCTCTCGTATTGGCGAGCTTGTTGAGTCGAGTGCTCGTGGACAGAACTGTGATCGTGGGCTACGGTTCAAGGTAATTATTTCCTCTTGGCCTGGCTCTACCAAGCTGACAATCTTTGTTTAGGATGCTCGACTCATTGTCATTCGTAAGGAGGATGGTCAGCCAGGTTTGGCTTTTGAATTTGAACGAGATGCAAAGGGAATGACACTGACGCCTAATGAGAGGTATTTTCTGGCGCCATTGCTATTTTCATTTATTCTTACGCTCACATCTTCCAGGCCACGCCATGCCATCTACGAAGCCCCAGAGGGGCAAATGCTACTACTCAATCCCATTTTGCCTATACTTGCCATAATATTGTCGCGCGGAGCACTTCGCGACTACCAAACTATTCAAGACATATTTCAAATTCCTGCGCCGCCGAAAGGTCAAGACATCACACTAACTTGGAGGGATGAGGTACTATCGCAGCCAGTCTTTCCCCGTATTCGCGAAGGCAGCGGCTTAACAGACAAGATGGAAACCGGGAACAAATTCGGAGAATACCTCCGTGCCCTCGGGTTTCGAGCTGGTTTCCCAGAACCGCTGACTATACATGACTTCAGAGCCGAGTATCTACAGCTCCTCGGTTAGTGAAACGTTGTCTTTGAGACAGGGGAGTAGTCGCTAATTCAACGAACCTAAAGATAAAAACTACAGCACATCGCAAAGACAAAGGTCTGCTGGTCAAAGAAGTATGGGGGTTTATGCCCAAAGATACCAAGCCAAGAATAGTGGCGCGGACGGATTTGGCCTTTTGTTCTTTAACAAGGCTGTTGACGGTATCAACGAAAACCTACGAGGTTCCGGGATTCGTTTCGAACCAAATCTGATACAGAAATTGTCTGCGGCTATGGAATTACAAATTCACACCGAACACCAGTCCGACATCAGAAATCTTGAGGCTCGGATGCTTTCGCTCATCCATACGAAAGCATCGAAGGTTGAAAGAAACAAAGTCTGGGACGAAATGAAGAAATTGTACACGAATGGCCTTCGCGACATGCAGGAGGATGGCAGAACAAAGGACAACGAACCATTACGTCTTTTCTTCGACCGTGCAAGGCATATGATGCCTGATAGACACAATCTTGCAGAGAATATTCTCAAAGAATTCCCACTACGAAGTTCCGAAGGGATCACTGCTCTTGATTGTATAATCAATATTTGCAAATCAAAATCCGAAACTGAGATCCCCTCGACTCTGCATGCATCCAATTGCCACTGCAACATACTATCGAAGACATGGAAGCATGTATACACCTGCCATCGATCTCATCTCAAACGTATCTATGCTTCAGCTGATTACTGCTTCTTTTGCAAAGAATGGTATACAGGAGAAGGTTGGCGAGATCATTGCTTACAACATTTGGCCTCAAAACAGTTCCGGGCTCGTTTGTCCAAGGATGACAGATCCAATCTGTTATGCGACCCTATCATATATGATGGTGTTCTTGTTTCCCCCGGGCTGTGTCCATTTTGTTTATCGCAGACAAACACAGCACCAGAACAGCAGTTGAAGCAGTTTCAAGAGCATGGTAGTTGGAGCCAACATCTTCACTTGCACTTCGACCAATTTACCAGGAGCATTCAGCCTGGAGGCATCGAATGCATCCATCCACTCTGTTCTACAGTATGTAACGACTCATAAGACTTCAAATTTCATCTTTTGGATAGCCATTGCCCCCCACACGGGGATTGGGCAGCTATACTAAAGCCATTTGGACCTTCTGAAAACGTGCAGGAGAACAAAAATGCAGAAGACGGGCCATGTGTGGATGGTAGACAGGATTTTGAGGTTTCTTGCCAAAAACGGGCAATCCCACCACCGCCACCACCCCGAACTAAGATTTCTCAGTTCATGATAGCACAATACGCATTCGACGGCTTGGAAGAAAGAGAGCTTTCTTTTCGTGAAGGAGATCGCATTTTGCTTCTGAAAAAAACGGAATCAGATCAAGACTGGTGGTATGGCGAACTGAATGGGAAAAGGGGAGATTTTCCTGCAAACTATTGTGTAGCTGTGGTGTAATTAAATTGATGGGTAGTTAGTTCGAAATTGTATTTTGGAGCCTAAATTACGATAAATTCTGATTAGTGTGACATGGAATAGACCGTTGGATTAAGTTTTGATCAAAGGGGATGAATCTTGATACAAAACGAAAATATATCTGGTCTTCTGATCAGTTGACGACGTGTACGTAATCGTTTCCAAATCCAATGATTACGCTGCCACGGCTGATTCTTAGTTAAGTAAAGCTGTTGAAATGGTAATTGAAAATCTGTGCCATCACCGATTGTGCAAAGTTGTAAACAGCTCTAAGCGCTGCAGGTCGTTCAAAAATGAGCATTTGCCTAGCATCATCGACAAAAAGTCTCGTATGGCTAGAGTCTCGATTGAAATCAGACTATTGCTTCAATAGCATCTGACGCAAAGTGGTAGTTTAAGAATAAATGGCGATCGATAGTTGTTTCTGAACCTGAGCCTGAGCCTGAGCCTGAGCCTGAGCCAAAGGTTGGAATAATGTTCGGCTATGCTTTCATCTTCGTGTAGCACAATGCCCCAGAACCCTCACGATACATCACAACATCCCATTTCCATAATCCTATGTCCGGCGGTGACCAGATCCACATGGTTCTCTCATCCATAAATACAAAGTCATCCGGCCAGCCATATCCGGCACTTACCTAAAATATTGTTCGAGCTGATATTGTATGATGGTTTTCGCAGCGACAAATCGCGCGACGAAAAGGGTTGCAAACCCGATAACAGTACAGTATCAAATGGCCACGCACGCTGACAGCCCTGTGAAGGAACATGAAATCGGCAGCTGCGATTTCAATACAAGGTATGCTTCGAGACCCCAACATCGGACGACGCCGGTAGCTTATCGAATTCGGATTCCATCAAATTCCAGATCAGAACCCTTGTTGCCTATAGGACGGGAAAGTATCCTGGAAGAGTATCTTAGAGAGCATCCATAAGGGGCATCCTAAAAAGGCATCCCAGAAGAGTATTCAACACAGAATAGTACCCCAATACGGAAGAGTATTCCATTACAGAAGGATATGTAACACAACACAGAAGAGTGTCCCGCGTTTATAGAAACTATTAAGCACAACCTCAGAACCTAGAGCCTGGAGCAAATCTGGTGCAGTGCCTCGAGGGGCCTTGAAATCTCATTATTGATGAGCAGGGGACCAATATGGTTATGATTCGAGGTCACGATCCGTAATTCGGCGCCAGGGCATTAGGTATTAAAGGTCAATCTGCTTGACAATCCAGTACTTCCAGTGCAAGGTATTTGGGAAAGGTACGTCGATACGATCACGATGAGCGACGACAAACTTTTTGGGCAAGAGTCATGGATCGTGGGTCCAATCCACGCTGACCGAAGATACTGTGAGCCCAAGCTCCAGCTTGCTGGACGTAGTCTGTGAAGTCTACGGTATATGTTCTTCAGATTAGGCAATTATGGCAATAGCGACGGGTTTGATCTGGCTCACTGAAACAAACCCAGAGACCAGACTGATCAGTATCTTAATTGATGGCGTAGCTTTCGTCCAAAGGACTCGAACTGATGCCCACGCCAGGTGATCAGAAACAACTGCAGACGAAAGTTCGAAAATGAGTCTTTCCGCAACCCCTTGATATTTCTCATTCTGAAATGATCATAATGTTCTATCTAATGGTCGTATGTCGGAAGGATATCCGCTCTAGAGTGTTAGAGGCGCAGTGGTTGTCGTCGACATACTCTTCTGTAATAGGATACTCTTCTGTAATAGGATACTCTTCTGTAATAGGATACTCTTCTGTAATAGGATACTCTTCTGTAATAGGATACTCTTCTGTAATAGGATACTCTTCTGTAATAGGATACTCTTCTGTAATAGGATACAGTATAGAGACCAGCAAAATTGGCTTCTTGTCTTTTGTCTCTCTTCCCGTCTCTGAGCACGGACGATCCATATTCTGCGCCGACCTGTATGTACCATAGCCAGATCCGCTTAGTACTGTCATCCAATGAGTACTTCATTCAGCCAAAATCGGCTCTAGTCGACAAGCAATTTTCTAGTGTCAGTTCGATTACAGTACCTTTGGCTGGCCGAAGTACTCAATGATGACAATACCAAATGGGTCTGCCTGATGTACATAACTAGTACATGAATGCCAGCGCCGGATATGGATCGTCGTGCTCAAAGACAAGAGAAACGAGACGAGAAGAAGAGGCCGATTTTGATTGTCTCTGTAGTATATTTATTCTGCTTCGTTCGAAAAAGCATGTTGCATAAATGGAGCTTCTTGAGCCAATGCTGGAACTGTCATCGAAGCGCGGGATCCGTGCATCATCGCCGCTTGTGTTGCTTTCTCGTTGCAATGGCTATGTTCCGGCAGTTTGGTACACTCAGCCACGAAAGTCAGGGGAGCTCCACAATAACCATACAATTCCAAAAGAGAACCCTTGCCGTCCGAAGGACAGAAGAGTATCCAAGGTACAGAAGAGTGTCCCATTACAGAACAGTGTCCCATCACAGAACAGTATCCCATCACAGAACAGTATCCCATCACAGAACAGTATCCCATCACAGAACAGTATCCCATCACAGAACAGTATTCCAGAAGGATATCCCAGAAGAATACAGTATCCCAGCACAGAAGTTATTCCAATACACAAGAGTATCTCAACAACAACCACTCTGCCTCCAACAGTCTAGAACGGACATCCTTCCGAAATACAACGATTGAATAGAACATAACGATCATTTCAGAATGGCACAATCTCGACGTAGTCTTCTGTCCTGCTTGTCTGGGCTACTCTTCTGCAGTGGGATACACTTCTGTGGTGGGACATTCTTCTGCGCCTTGGATGCTTTTCTGTAATGGGATATTCTTCTGTGCCGGGATGCATGCCGATCGCACTGTATGATATAAGCACTCAACATTGCTTGATGATCTATTCCATTGATGTAAAATTTGAAAAGATCGGCCTTGCACGATTAGCAGAAAACTTCAAACGAAGGCACGGAAAGAGGAAGAGAGAAGAGAAAAAGGGAAATTTTGTCAAAGAAAGGAGATCATATGGGTGCATGAGCCACGATAGTAATGGCTGTCCCTGCGATGTGCCAGCTATGGCTAGTCATACGGCAGAGCACTCATTCATACTACAGTACAGTAATTACACCGTTACTGTACTGTAACGCAGTCCAGTACAAACTGTAGTATCGTTCCAGGAATTTGAACACGCCGTTTCCATCATGTAAGGGGCGATATGCTGATTGCCTGAAGCTGGTGGGGCAAGTGATACCGCTTAGACAGGGATTGGCTAGGGTTTGGAGGTCATCTTAGCTTCTGGTGACCCATCTGTGAATTGCCAGTGCTCGACTGGCCAACAAAGGATCCGCAGCAAATGATCTCAGAGAAGCCCCAGGGCAAGACATAGCCGAGGAAGTTGGACCGGGGTTCCTCCACCCGAGCCACCCGAGGCGTTTTCCAATTTGGCAAACCCTCCACTCTCAAGCAAACGACATGATCAGGGGTCACTCATGAGTGACTCTTTGCACGGAATAGCCCGATTCAGCTACCAAGGCGATCTAGAAGTACAGAAAGCAACGTAAAGTTAAAGGAGCGGTCTCCGGATAGGGAAATTGCACGTAAAGCTTTGCTATACGCGCGGACTCCTAATATATATAAATACGATAATGATTTTTTCGAATTATTTTTGGATTAAATCGTAAGGTTTATAAATATTACCGAACGGTATTTTAAATAGCCGGAAAATACTAAATTTCGGAGGGGTAACGTAAAAACGCGATATAAATGCGGATACCCCGATTGCAAAAATAATTAATTTAATAAAAAATATCTTTTTTATAATAAGATAATATAACTTTACGATTTAGCAAAAAATATAATATTATTTTTTATTAAAAAATATATTTTTTAGGCATTTTTCGGTAAATATTTTATTTAGGGATCCGTCGAATTTATATTTATTTAAAAAAAATAAAAAGAATATAAATAAATAAAATAATAATAAAATCTGGCAAAACTAGCGATACCTTATAATTTTACGGAAATTATAAGGCGATATTAAATATTAATATTAGCACCGAATTATAAACGTATTAGCTATAGCTCTCCTAGTTTTTATCCGTAGATTTCTGCTTGCGTAACTAAAGAATTAAATAATAACCAATTCGCAAATAAGCAAATATTAATCCGGCGCGAATCGAGCCGAAGGGTTACTTCCCGAATTTTTCTAAAATTTTTATTAAGGCTTAAAAAATTATAAATTACTTTTATCTCCCGCGGAAATAACAAATAGTATTTTATTTTATAATTTTTAAAAAATAATTTATTTAATATTAAATAAACGGTAAAAATATTTATAACGAATAATTTAAGGCTA